ACGAGGGGGGTTCATCCTCCACTCCTGTGCAGTGTGGGCCGTTGCTACTCCATATAGGATGTTCCTCGTGGGTCTCTCTTCTTGCTGCGTTTAGTCTCTAGAAATTTTCTGATAGGAAGCATCGCTTGTAGGTATAGCATGTACAGTGGTTGTTCTTTCACCAGAGGCTCATTGACACGTACCAAGGTTTACTTTTGACCTTTATGTCTCACAATTAGGATCTCATTGTCTTAACTACTGGGAATTTCTCCGCCCTTATCTAGGATTATTTTTAGTGTTACGCAGTGTGGACACTTCCTCGCTAAGAGCACAGTGGTCTACCGCCTCGCTACTCACTCGCTATCGAAATTTCTTCTATCGAGATGGTACGTTTTGTGGTTAGCATCAAACTCACATCCAGTCATACGCATTTCTTCCAAGTTGTAAACACCGAGCATCCGTTGTGACTAAGCATTCCAGCGGACGCAGATGCTATGTACGCCCCATTGCGCGGAACGTTTAGTAGAGTTTCTATGTCTCGGCAAGACATTGGAGCCATACTAAGAACACTCAACGTTTACTTCATTTATTCTCCAACTTCTGGAACATTTCACACATCAACCTTGAGCTTCACGGAAATGTTTGCAATTTCTTAGACTGTCATTGACCCAACACAGTTCACCGTAAAGAACATACTGTTTCCGTCGGAATTCGACTGTCTCCGATGTGACTGCAATAGTGTAGCGAGAACGACAAGACAGGGGGGTAGACGTTTATTGCACACCGAAAATGGGCACATGAGGGTCTCGCGCGCGCCATCGAATATCGACTAGATTTCCGTCCCACCACGCAACACAGGTACGGATGTTAGAGGCGAGCCAGTCCTTTCGCCTCGGGAGCTCTGACTTGGAAGATCCGCCTTCCTGTTTTCGCCTCGATCTCCGCTTCTCTGCACCCGATTTGGGTCGGCCAGGAGTCGTTCGACAGCTCTCGCCTTGCTTGTTCTGGGCTGTGTCAATCGGCTCGGCCTCGGTCCTGTGGGCTGCGCTAGCGGCGTATTTGTCTGATTTATTGCGCTGTCCACATATTCCCGCTCCGTAGTTCCGGGCCCAGGCTCGTCGTTAGCCGTCTTTCGCGATCCGCTCTCAGCTAGCTCCGAAGAGCTCCCCAGAGCCATTCTTGGAAGCGGACCCTCTACACCCGCCCCTCCTCCAGGACCTTTCTTCCTCTCGTACCATGGTCGCAGGAGAGCAGCATTCACCCAACGTTTCATTCCTCCGCAGTCGATTAAGAAGTTGCCCGCTTTCTGGTCGATAATGGTGTAGGGGCCTTTCCAGCGTTCTCTGAACTTGCTTGCGCCCGGCCCGTCATGATCCGGCCGATGGTTGTTCCGTAACTTGACCCTTTCTTCAATCCTGAATGGCCTCCACTTGTGAGCCTCATGCCTGGCGTCGTAATTTCGCTTATTCCGCGCTTGTCGAGCTTTGGTTTCGCTTCTAGCTTTCCATCGCAGTCGCTCTTGATGCTCAGCTGGATGTTTCCACTCACCCTGGTTCGGTAGGCAAGTATCGAGTGCAATCCGTGGTTCTCTGCCGAACAGTAATTCGAATGGCGAGACCTTGGTGGTTGATTGCATGCTGGTCCGATACGCGATCAGAACCTGAGGCAAAGCATCTTCCCATGCCAACTTCGTGCAGTTTATCCACGTCTTCAATGTCCGGTTGAACCGCTCGGTCATCCCGTTGGTTTGTGGGTGGTACGGTGAAGTTCGCCGTCTCTGGATGCCCCACTTGTCCAACACTGACTTAAACGCTCTTGACTCGAAGCAGGGCCCTTGGTCCGTGATGATACACTGTGGGATCCCATACCTTGCCGGCACATTGAATTCGAATACTTGCGACACTGTCTCGCCTGTTTGGTCCTTGATTGGTATGGCTTCCACCCATCGAGTGAAGTGGTCAATCATCACTAGAATGTATCTGTTTCCTGTTCGACTCACTGGTAAGGGCCCAAAGACGTCCAGTCCCCAACACTGAAGTGGCTCACCAACCTCCATCGAGCGCATCGGCGGTCTCGGGGACTCCATCTCCCGACTCGTTTGGCAGTTTGGGCACTCCCGAAGGTATGCCGCGACGTCCTTCCTCATGGTTGGCCAAAACACTCGCCTCCGCAGCAATTCAAAGACCCGCTCGAATCCCATATGGGCGCCATCATGAGTTATGCGCATCACACGTTCTCGCTGATTTGGTGGAACAAAAGGCACTTTCCGTCCGTCTATCGCCACCACCACGTTATCGTTTTCGACCTTCAACCTGTCCCAGATCTTGAGGAGTTCCTCCATCTCCGATGTAGCCTCCGGTTTGGTGCCAGCCCGTAAGTGAGAGCACAACACATTCACGAATTCATCTGTCCTTTGATCTCCCAGCAGGTTCCTCTCCCCCATCGCGATCGCACGCACCGGTATGGCATTGTCTGGCATGATGTCGTCCAAACACGGGCGTGACAACATATCTGGCAATACATTTTGCGTTCCATCCACGTGCTCAATGGTGAAGTTGAATTCCTGCAATCGGTAGGCCCATCGCGCAAGCCGTCCCCGCGGGTCTTTCGCCGTCATCAACCACGAGAGCGGTTTGTGGTCAGTGACGACCCGGAATTCATTCGCCAGTAAGTAATTTCTCCACTTCTCTAACGCCCACACGATGGCCAAGCATTCTTTCTCCGTTGTTGAATACTTCTGTTCCGCCCCCGTCAGCACTCTGCTCGCGTACTCCACCACCCCAGCCGGTTGAGACAAAACCGCACCGATGGCCACGTTGCTTGCGTCTACAGCCACAGTGAACCTCTCACCAGGATTTGGTAGCCGTAGACATGTCGGGGCTTCTGCTATGCCTGCCTTTAGATGGTCAAAGGCCTGATCCGCTTCAGCTGTCCACACAAAGGGCACGTCCTTGCGAAGCAGCTTTAACAACGGGCTGACCTTCTCTGCGAACTGGGGCACAAACTTGGAATCATATGCCACCACTCCCAAGAACGAACGGAGCTGACGCTTGGATTTTGGTTTTGCGAAGCACTTGATCGTCTCGCGTTTCTCCGGAAGTGGATGGACTTGACCATTGCCCACGATGTGACCCAAGCATACAATTGACTTTTGGGCAATCTGCGACTTTTTACGACTGAGTTTCAGACCAGCTTCATCTAGCCTCTGCAGTACTGCTCCAAGTCTGGTCACATGTTCCTGTTCCGTCTCAGAGAAGACGATGATGTCATCACCGTGCACAACCACGCCTTGCAGGTTCGCGAGGACCATCAGCAACAAACGCCTGAATGTATCTGGGGCGTTGCACAATCCAAACGGCATTCTCAAAAACTCATACTGCTGGCCATTGACACTGAAAGCCGTCTTGTGGCGATCTTCTTCTGCGATCGGCAGTTGCCAATATCCCGAGCGGAGATCAATCAGAGATATCTGCTTCGCACTGTGAAGGCTTGAGAAAATTTCTTCCACAGGACTGTGTTGACTACTTTGCTCCAGTCCCTCGAGTGGTCAACTTACTGAGGGTTTAGTGCTTAAATATATAGACCATTATGTTTTCTCGGATTTTTGCAGGAATTTACATAGTCCCAGACCTACAAAGCATCTGTTGTAGTGACCTTAATGAATTCGAGTCCCACTGTTGCTTATACCGGTTTAGCGTCACATGTGTTCGTGCTCGGAACCAGGTGGAAAACGTATCTCTCTTTGAATTTCGGTTTCGAAGAGGAATCCGTTTGTTTACACCTACACGGTTTTTTTCGAAGAAAACTTAATATAGTGATGATTTTGAGCACTTCTTACAAGGCATGTTGGATTTCATGTTAACCTTATTTTTCGTGGCTGTTGCTGTGTAATTCAGCAGCTCCGTAGGACCAACACCTACACGCGAAACTTTCCCTCTAGGGCCATAGGTGTGCCTTTCGCTCAAAGCATTTTGGTATCCCTTTCCACTAACGATGTTTTTTTAGGAATTCTTCCCATATGCTTCTTCGGTCATCTGTTTGTGACAGTCTGTCGTACTCAGCTCAGTGTTGGACCATATTCATTTTGATGTACTCATGAGTAGGGGATTTTGATGTAATTATGTGAGGTCGATCGCAGCCAGTTTCCAAATCAGTTTCTAAATGCTATGTCGTACATAGCTACTGTTAGTGGACGTCGTGTCTTTCGGGGTCAACCCTGTCCTCTGCAGCGTTCGTAACTTGCATGGCAGTGGAGGATAAGACGCGCTATATCGCAGTTAGCTTGTAAATCATGACGGTTTGAAGCTGTCCCCCGTGGCCCAGTGGCATAAGCTGCTGACTGGCGGTTCAAGCCACTGGTAGTCATGAGTTCGAATCCTGACGGATCCGACGGATGCGCACTACTAACGATGCCCAACAGGCTGAAACTGCAGTCTAGTGCTTTTTCGGGCATGTGGACGACGATCTGATTTGGAAACTGGCTGCGATGAACCTCACATATTCATTTTGCCGAGTGTTCATCTTGTTTGGTTACGCTGTTGATCGTTGCACGCTTGTATGCAACAGAGTCGGCGAGAGAAACCGACCGAAGCGCGGAGTCGTTTCGACAAGCATCTTCGTTGGAAAGTCATGGAATGAATTCAACAAGTGGTTATCGCCCTACCTGATTTATCACAATTAGGCAGTGTAATGCGCTTATAACTGTATCATCTCATTGCCAGTGGCTAACTAAAATATTTCACCTCCATCAAACCTTTCCCCACGAACTCGTTTCCGTTCTTCCTTCTCCTTTTGACTTCGTTCCGTCAGTTTTCACCGTTTCTTCAATTCAAAGTACAGTAGAGGGATCCATCGCTTTTCAAGCTTTTTCTCACGTCCGACAAACTGGACCTAACCGGTACCGTGACCTCTGCAACCAATGTTTCTCAGGGATAGTGGTATCCATTTCACTGTGTTTAATGGGAAAATATGATGGACCTGTCACTTCGCATTATTGCTGATGTCCTTTTTTGCATTCGCAGGAGCTTCATGGCGAATTTGTCGACCTACTTGAAATTGTCGAAGACTGAACGTCCGAGAAAGAGTCAATATGTGAGTCTCTTATTCTTCTTGTACCCCATTAGCTGCCGTTACAAAGCCACCTTCATTTTCGGGTCTTAGCTCTTGCGCCATCGTATCACTGACCACGTTTTTGTGCCCCATCGATCGGTCGGGCGGTTCGTGTTGCGCTAATATCGACTTCGTTTCCCGTTTCCGGCGTTGTCAAACTCTGTGCATAAATGCAGACCTACTGTATTCAGTGAAAATCGAAAAGGTGCAACAATCAGATCAGACACTCGTCCGGGCGCATTGCAACTTTCGTTATTCACAAGTCGTCAATTCTTGTACGGCTGAGAAAAAAATCTTTTCTCTAAATAAGCACAAAGTCGAACGAAATTCGCCGATGCAGTGACATCACAGACTCGATTAGGCGTTTTATTGATCTTACTGGCTTCCTGACTTTATAGATAAACAATTGATTAGGCACATTCTTCGACTGGGTGAGACACGTCTTCTTCACTGAACCGGTCCTTTATACGTGGGTATAAATTAAGTGTTTTCCTCTCTACAGTATCCTACCGAAACCGTTTAGATTAAGCAGGTTGCTCGACAAAATTCTGCGTGTTGTTCGATTTCATGTGGTGCATGCTTCATTTGTTGTTGCTGTCACGGCCCTTTCTCATTTAAGTTGTTTACATTCAATTTCGAAGCCCAATTCCATGTACAGTGCCTCTGGAGAGGAGACCATTTTCTGGAAATAGGGAGGCACAAACTCGCAAATAATAAGGAGTTGAACGAATGGAACTTGAGACTCGGTGTTTAGCAACCGAAAAAACAATGCACGTTCCTTCATTAAAGATGTTAATATCATCAATTAGTTGCTGCTGGAAGCAAGGTAACAGCAACCAGTATGCCCCACCACTTTCTTGGGGCTATCGATTAAATCAGGGAGCCACACTATTTGGTTTTGACGTGATGGATGAAACAACAAAAGGAACTACGTACTTGCATGGTCATTTGGAAATCGTCATCGTGAAGGTACCTATACTGCGCGGTTCTCCCTAGGATGCATACGCTGAATACAGTGAGTAAACTAAGACGATGAATTCACGACACAGTAACACCATGGGTTACTGTTAAGATTGAGAGACGCCTGATAAGACGATTGTCACTGGCACGGTTTGAGCACGCCTACGATAACGGATTGGAACGTTGGCCGATCGCACAGATTTGCGCTGACGTGACGGCCCAGGGTACTCGCTGGTGGGACAGAAAATGGATCGAGCGTGAGGACGTTCCTAGCCGCACGTATTCGGGTAGGAGCTGAGCCTTCGTAACGGACGAGGCTACGCACACTAGAAAGGGTTAAAGTGGACGCGCACCAGTGGCTTAGGCGCGAACGCTGCCCGGCTATCGACGCACACAAAAATCACGTGACCGAACCGACTTCCAACTACGGCGAAGAGGAAGCAAGTGGTCCTTTGAACGCTCTTTCACGACCAACAACGGGCGAATCAGAGCCAACACTGTGGGTCATTAAGTTAGTAGAAATAGCTACCACGACGGGTGGTGGTTTGTAAAAGAACATTGTCCACATGTGCGCAGTTGTGCCCCGTCTCGGAGTGACTGAAATCCCCTGCGTTGGGGAGCGGGGAGGAATTGAACTCCTCTTCCCACAGCAATTACGCCGGTTTGTGTTACGTTTTTGCAGGGATATTTGACGGGCTCGCAACAGTTACGTTGCCAACTTTAGTCGCGAAATTGACCACAGGCGGTCACCAATGAGGATGGCGCCGGTACAGTAACGGGGAGAAAGTGTGGTTGCGCAGTGGAAAGCGCCTAAATGAATAGGAATGGATTCAGAAGGGCATTATTATCACGCAGGCACGCCCTATCGACGCTTCGCTGCTAACCCATCACCACCGATCGCGCGTGGGCTGAATATACCGTGAAGCTGCTCGCACCTGGTGGCTGCTGTTGTGTCGGGGTTCTTTTACATAGGGAAACCACTTCGTTATACAACTTGACGCACAACAGACATCACTGTTTACAGTGATGTTCTTCCTTGTTCTCTATTAGTTAACGTCTCATTGAACATAAAACTCCAAAACACGAAAAATCTCAAAACGGCATGTGTAAAACCGAAAAAATCGTTTTTTTCCTTGTACTTCCTTTCTCCCCTTTATTTCGCCATGGCTCTGATAGCACATTTTCTTATCAGATTGTGAGTATATATATATATATATATATATATATATATATATATATATATATATATATATATATATATATATATATGGTTGACGGCATCCGGTTTCGGATTTGCCTGTCACTGTGGCCAGCCACAGGACGCCTGCGCCTACAGAGGGACCATGGATGGCTTGCGCTGCACCACCCACAGCTCCATCCACACACCCCATATGCAGTGTAAACCCGAAGGAATAAGACCGGGAGGCATGCGGATAGGAGCCATGTTTCATCAACGGAGCCGGCCCACACTCCTTCACAGGCAAACACAAGCACACTGTAGTTGGGAATGAAGCGCACACAAGGCGGTGGCTGGACCGTAGTCCGCTCCACACTGAGTGCATGGAACCACTCTTCAAGCCTAGCACGACCACAAGGATCGTGCACCCCGTTCCCTCTATCAACGACCAACTGTCTCCTGGAGCCAGTATGGACGAGATAGCGGGTAATAGATAGGTGGGCACCTTGTCAACATGCACATCAAGCGCAGCCACACCGGGGATATCAAACCACAGCCAATCACTTGAGAGAGAGGGAGACAAAGAAAATAACTCGATTAATGTATAAGGAAACGGTGACATAAACCTCAAGTTAATGAGCATATGAAATAAGTTGTTTACAAACGTATCCTAGATAAGTTTATGAGGTCATAAAGTATACTTTACGAAAATGCCACGAACACAAAAATGTTATGGAAATCAAATACCATTGGCTTAAGCGAGGTGTGCAAGTTAATGGAATAGAGTACAGGTAGATATTTATATGAGAAATAAAGCATTAAGGCAAAATTGAAAACCCACCACCTGAAATAAAGAGACTTAGCATGCAAGCACGCGGTTAGTAAATCGAATGCAGCGTACCTACAAACGCTGCGCCGGTTCTGCCTACGTTCTCTGCAGGACCCGTCGTCGCTTCTGTAGTGGTCCCTAGTAACCTCGCTCATGGCTCACTAGATATTTATATGAGAATGAAAGGCATTAGGACAAAACTGAAAACCCACCACCTGAAATAAAGAGACTTAGCATGCAAGCACGCGGTTAGTAAATCGAATGCAGCGTACCTACAAACGCTGCGCTCGTTCAGCCTACGTTCTCTGCAGGACCCGTCGTCGCTTCGGTAGTAGTCCCGAGTGGCCTCGCTCATGGCTCACTAAGCCTGCCTGACTAAGGCACTCTCGACCGCATGTTCTACAGCACCATGCGCTTGATGTCGATGGAGAACAACCCATCGGTGCTTACCGCTTCCGCACTTGACGCCTCTTCTCTGCATGCATGAGGGCTTTCTCCCGCACCTCGGCAACTGCCTTCGTGATCAGATAGCGCTGTGCACGCCGATCAACCACCTTCGATTCCCATGACCTGCAATCAAGATTAGAACGTGTGAGGCTCACTTTAATCATGTCCTGGTAACGTAACTTTGGTTTCCCCACGTGCCGCTTGCCAATACTCAGCTGACCATATAATAGCTGCTTCGGTATCCGCGTCGAATCCATACGACTCACATGACCGATCCACCTCAGGTGTCTCAATAAAAGTATGCAGTCCACTGCATACATTCCACTTCGGCGCAAAACTTCCGTGTCTGCAACTCTGTCGCCCCATCCGATGCGCAAAATTCGTCGCAGACACTGTTGATGGAACCGCTCGAGATAACACACATCCCGCCGGTACATCGTCCAGGTTTCACTGCCGTATAGAAGAACAGACAGCACCATGGATTTGTACACCATCAGCTTCGTGCCAATGGTGAGCTGATGGTTGTTCCACACTCGGTACTCAAGCTTCCCGAATGCCGCCGCTGCCTTCGACACGCGGGTACGCAGCTCACTGTGTGGCTGCTGATCAGTCGACATCACACTCCCAAGGCAGCTGAAACGGGAGGTGGTTTCCAATACTTCAGCACCAATGCTGATTCGCGGCAATATTGAAGATTGCACCTCCGGTGAAGGCTGAAAGAGACAGACAGTTTCGCTTGTGTTGATGGTGAACCCGAATCTGGCCGCTGTCGAAGCTAGAGCAGTAGTCATGTGCTGCAACTCATCCGCGCTGTGTGAAAACAACGCACAGTCGTCAGCAAACTGAAGCCTACGGATAGTTGTCTCACAGACTAGGGTTCTCGCATCGAAACGACGGGTGTTCAGTAACCCACCATCAATACGGTGCTCCACACGAACACCGTAAGCACAAGCGGCATCAAAAGCACAGGGCAACATTGCATGAAGATATATATTAAACAGGGCAGGAGCTAAGACACAACCTTGCTTCACACCAGAGACAACTGCAAAGTCATCCGAGGTCTCTCCACTCAGCTGCACCCTCGCTCGCATACCACTGCGCAAACATTCAATTAAACTTACAAACTTACGCGGGCAACCAAACTTACCCAACACCAGTCACAATGCCTGGCGGTTCACCGTATCATATGCCTTGGTGAAGTCCACAAAAAGCGAGTACAATGGCTGGTGTCGTTCTCTGCACTTCTCTTGCAACTGACGAGCCGCAAACACCATATCTATAGTGCTGCGACCCGAACGGAATCCGCACTGCTCTTCCGCCACGTTAAGTTCCACAACCTGACTGACGAGGCGGTTGAGCAGGATTCGGGCAATCACCTTGCCCACACAACTCAGCAAGTTGATGCCACGATAATTCGTGCAACATTGCTTGCTCCCTTTGCCCTTGTACGGTGGTAGCACAAGGGCATCCTTCAGCTCAGGAGGCACTTCCTCCTCAATCCACACGCGTTGCACCAAGTGGTGCAGCGCAGCCACCGACGCAGGTCCGCTGTGTTTCAATACTACAGGT